AAGTGAGGTAATTCCAAATATCCATACTATTTTTGATCGCACTGATATTGAAATAACAACCCAAAATGAAGAAAAATACATTAATATTACAAAATTATTAAAGAAATATAGTACAACTCCAAGAAAGCCAAAATATTTTAAACCTAATAAATCCAATTGGAAAGGAATGATGATTGAAAAAAATAAATTTGTTGAACCGGTTTGGGCCTTATCATTTCTATTGAGTCCATCCTGTAAATGTAAAGAATCTGTTTTGGAATTAATTTCCAAATATTTAGTCCAAGATTTAACACCCATTGTAATAAGAAATAATGTTGAGCAGTCAGGAATTAATTTGAAATTCGTAGGAGGTTGCTGTTCTGCTTGTGGTAATGAAAGTATCACATGTTCCACAAAGTATAGAAAGAAAATTACAGAAATGACAGATGCTACCTATAGAAACAAAATTGTAAATAATGTTATGAATATTTTGTATGGTATTTGTACAGCTTGTGGATTAAACTTACTGTTAATGTTAGCTCTCTACTTTCAAAGAAATATCCCAGAATTTGTGAAGATGTTAAGGTGTATGAGAATTAATCCATCCACAGGTAAAGAAAACGAATCATTATGGTTACAAATCAAGAATGCTGTTTCTACAGTCAAAAGTAAATTAGATATAAGCAAGAAACTAATTCAATATGTGAAAGATTTCATTCTACTAAGTGATGAGAAATATCAAACATTCATTGAATATACAGGTTTGAAATGTATTCTTCCTTGTTCTAGAACATTGTGTAGATTGAGAAGTGCCATTCATGAATGCACCCAAGCTAGATATAACGTGTTTGTTAATGGTGTAGCCGTTTGTTGTAATTTTGTGAAAGTATTGGGTGACATGTTAAATATTCACAAATCAATTTGTAGCAAGAATAATATTAGCAATAGCCTTTCTAGTGTAGACTTGAAACTTTCATTAGATAAGGGAACTGAGACTTATTTGGTGGGATCTGTTGCTCCTTTAAATTTACAAGTGGCAGCACAATCCAGATTCTCTCAAATTATTTGTGCCATTCTAGATTATGATGAAAATATGGAAGCATCTAATGCCATTTTAAGGTTCATTACTTCAATATTAGAGGAAAGTTACAATTCTTTAACTGGTTTCTTTGAAATAATGTATAATGATACTTCCATTCCAATCAAAATATTCATGGTACATGATTTGAAGATGTTTGGATTAATATCTGACTTGAATGATGAAGAATGTTTTTGTCCTTATTGTAAATGTAAGAAATCACAACGTCATCTTTATGAACATGATAATGATCCAAGAACATTATTTTTCAGAATGATGCCTAATGTCCTAGTCCATAATATTATTTGTTCCTTGCATATGAAGATGAGAATTGTTTCTTGTTTGGTGGTACAGATTTTACTCCAACACGGAAAAGATGTATGGGATGTAATTGAATCAAGAATGAAAAGATTACCACATCTATCTCAATTCAAATACAGAAACGAGAGACAAGAGGATGAAGATGAAGGTGTGAGTGATCAACATTATCCAAAAATTCCATATTTAAATGGTGATCAAGTTGATGAAATCCTCCGCAACTTTGAGAAAATATTTGATGGCTATTTGGATTACAAAGGAGTGATGTTGTGGGAGTTGGTTCGAGTTATTTTTTTTGATTTTATTGAAGGTCCTGATTCGCTAATTGGTGATGTGGACAAGAAGGACACTTTACAATTAATGTGCAAGTACGTTGGCCGTTTATTGAGAGAGATTTATCCAACATCAAAATTTGCATATTACTTCCACATTTTGATTAAGCATGTTCCAGATTTGATTTTCATTTATGGTCCATTAGTGAAATTTGCTAATGAAGGAAGTGAAAACATCCATGCTGGCCATCGGTTAGCTCTAGAAAGAAGCACAGCTTCAGGTGGAAAAGCAAATAAGTTAGAAACTCTCCAACTGTTACAACAAGAGCACAGACGTATTTATTTAGCAAGTGTAAATGGTTTCCCATGGCTAGGAAAACACACTGAACTGAAAGAAGTTGAACAAAGTGATCACTCATTCCTTCACTCCAAATTACTAATTATGGAACTTGGTGAAATGAATGATGAAAATTGGTG